AGGAATTCATTAATTACATGGTATTAGTTAAATTATTATAAGATTATAGAATATAAGAATAGTTATAATAGCAATTATGACCAATAAAAATCCCTAAAAAAATTTTGTAAGTTGTATTTTTATATAAAGTCAATGAAGGTTTAGCTAGACTTAATATAATTATAATATTAAGGAAAATATGTCCTAATGGACGTAATTTTTAATGTTGCTAGTTTCTTTTTAATTTGAGCATGTCCCTTGAACTTTCACTTGCTGAATATAGCTCAAGCCGTTTAAGTTATTTTATCTGTGTGTCAACTGTAGTATTCCTAGACAAAGAAAAATTTGTCTTACAAATTTGTTTGTTTTTCTCCAACTTCTTTGCGCCTCTAACAATTAGTAGTTTTTTGAGCTAGATACTATTTAAAAATATGAAGTCACCACCTTAAGATTTGCCCCAAGAAGAGATCAACAATTAATTAATAAGTAACCAAAAGAGCAGCCAATAAAAATTATCCCTTTTTACAACGGCACATACTTTTTTTACTATTCCGATATAGTTATATGTTTAAAATCACCCTGTTAAATTAATTTTAAATATATAAATATCATATAACTTGACTTTTGTTGAGGTATCTAACACACAAAGTAAGGATAATGGACCATTTATACTTACTCAATAGAACCAAGAAAACGCGGTATAAACGTGTATTAGCGGGTTAATAAATAGTTTGTGTTTACGGTTCGATATAAACTTTTTAAATCGGTTAATTTATGATTTTTAACTCGTAACAAAGAACACGTAGATAGAAGAATAAAAGACAGATAGTGTAACTTAAGATGATAAGTTCCTATGTTGAAAACAAAGTGCCCACCAATAAATTTCATTTAAAATAAAATAATTGATTAAACTAACTTAACTATATTATTGGCGAAAACAGAACAAGAGATTAAACCAGAAGCAGAGATAGCTTGCAATAAAAACAAAAAAGGACTTAATAGAATTAACAGAGGCTAAAATGCTTAGGAAGCGAGAGGTCGAACCTGAAAAAGGCGCTATTAAAGCGCTTTATTAAAAAAATTAACATCAATTGTTTCTATCAGAGTTATGTTTGTAGGGAAGTTGTACACGCAACAACCAAACAGATAAATGCGAGTTGGGGAAACCGACGAGACTCGATGATCTAACCACTGAGCTATGGGCGACAACTCACATCTTCTGTCGATAAATTCCGTTAACAACTTTTGATAGTTTCTCAAGGGACTTCTGTTGGTACTAGGGTTGTAGCCAATCATGTATCTGTGAAGTGTGCTATTTCATTAAACTATGTGATTCTAGGGAGTTAAGAGCGCTTTAATAAGGTTGCACTACTTTTTTAATAAACTAGACATGAGGCCTACTAACTTCTATTTACGGTAACGGATTAAACACGTATACCAGTACACCTCCGAAAGTTATTGCCGGAGTTCAGCGCTTTAGGGTATTGATTGATGAGTAAACTCAAAAAAATTGGTTAAATTCCCATCGACGTGCTCTTTTAACGGTCTTTGATGAATGCGTATATAACTTGCTCCCCACAACTTTAATAACAGTATCCAATTAAAAAAAATTCAGGCTTAATGCGCTGTTAACGCGCTACGCATCTGTTGATTGGACTTAAGAAAAATCATTGTAAATTGCACTCCCGCGGGCCCTGCAGAACAGGTTCCTCCAACTGTCTGACGACCTAAACGAGTTAATAGGGTCGCCAGTGGGCTCAAGAGCTTACATAAGAACTCTAGGTAGGCGCACGCTTCCATCGACCCCGTGAGGCGCTTTAAGCGCCCACTTATTGTTTGTAAAAACTTTTACGCCCATTTTATATAGTTATGTATATAAAATGATGAGATAACTTACAGAAACTGAACACAAACTACGTAATCTAATTTAAGTTATTAGCAGACTGGGTGGCTTGCGTTTTTAATATTACCAAGCATCTGCACAAATTATGTAAAAAGGAGGGAAGACCTCAAGGGAAGTATTAACAGAACAAGCTTTCAACTAACTTTACAGCTTTTGGATGTGGCCTGCGCGCCTTAACTTTTACCACGTATTTGCTATAAATTTTTTACTTGTTTACATATTAAAAAAAAATTAGCTGCGAACATTGATTGCTAACTTATTATCGGTCAACGAAGAATTCAGAAGAGAATTAGTTTCAATAAATCCCCTATTTATTGAGCGCTTCAAAACTACCCAGGAGAAACTATAGTCTGAGACGAAAGGAGCATTTTGATATGATGACTAATAATAATGTTACTCGGTTTTACGATTCTAGGTCTATTTAAGGCTTTTAAATTATTAGAAGAAAGCAAGAACTTAGAAGCCAGCCATAAACGAAACTCATAACGCTAAAGTAGGTTTTATTAGTAAGTAGCAGTAGTTGTAGTAATACTAATATTTCTCATAATAGCGTTTCTATTAGTACAGTAGCCGAGAGCAACCACAATATTAGTATTAATAATAAATATAAGGTGGTGTAAATTTTAGTAATACACTTCATTTTAGTAATATAACTTATAATAGCTTAAATAAGAGTAGAGAGTGTAGTGATACCCACGGAGACTTGGAACAACCCGTAAGAGCTTTACAGCACAGCGTAGACGTTGAGATGTGGGTAGTGCTTTTAGCACGGCTTCCAAGAAAAATGGACGATCGAATGAAATGGAATCTCGTAAAAGAAAGATTCCTTCCGTTACTATATGCGAAAAACAAAAGTGGCCCTTACTAATTTAATTTTCGCAAACCAACGGCGTAAATATTCTACGATCAAGAAATACCCGCCTTGGACTTAAGATATTTCCTACGACAGCTAACGATTACTGCTCTATTACAGCGATCATGCGAGCTCATTGGTTTCAATTCTTTACGTATCAACTACCTGAAGAAAAGCCTTTGATATTTTGTCATCCTTGGGATTTACTGTGAACTTGACCTTTCAACCGTTGGAGAGGATTAGCACGCTCAGGGCGTCACACCCGAGTTGCGCAAATTGCGCACTGAGGACATCGTTAATAGCGGACGTAAGAAACGTTTGCTACCACTAGTTTTAGTACATATATTCAGAATTGAGAGTAGAACCGAAGGCTATTTCTCTTCTTCAAGTTCAGGTGGAGGAACTTCGAAAGAGTATTCGCCTTGGTCAGTGCCATCTTTGTCAAATCTTTGGGCACACCGCAAGCTTTTGAACTCCGACACCCCTATGCGTTAAATGTTGCGAGAACCACTTGGCGGCCCTATGCACGAAAGCACGAGATAGCTCTGCTAGTTAAGCGGTTGCGTTGAATCGCACACCGCTATTTTTCCAAATTGCAAATACTAGCGCGGAAGGCAGCCAACCCGCAAAGTCCACTTCGTCGGTGCTCACTACAAACAATACCGTTACTCCGGAGGTCTCTCACACGTCCTTTTAAGGACTAAACTTCTTTAAGACTTAACGACTATTCCGTTAGTTTCTGAAGCTTCTGGCCACGCTTCTACTACGAAAGCTGGTCAGCAAGAACAACCACCACAGCCGACCTTATGGCAGCTGTTAGAAATTTTAACGACGTGTCTATCCAGCATGCTTGAAACTGGGAAAGGACTAGAAGCTGCTTGCAACGGTTTTTAAACTAAAGACGCGCCGCTACATTTGGGAGTTATCCTAAATGCGAATGATTTTCAGAGTAAGAAGTATGAGAGCTTCAGGTGCTGTTACAACGTGAAAGTATTAATGAGTTATGCCGTCAACGAGATCCCCTCCTTCCTAGCACCTTAACTTTTCTGTGCAACTTTGTCACATATCGCCAAGACCAAATCAACGCACGCGGTAGGAGCGGGGCTGGCTTGTAAAACGAAGCATTTAACATCGCTCGATATCTCTGCCAGCTCTACCAAGTGTCAAGGCAGTGGGAATTTCCCTATGTATGACTGACCCCGAGCCCGTGTCTGGAGCGTTGTCTACAAAAATTTCTCGGGAAGCTATTACCGCCCTCCGTTTGGATGCCATCCTTGCAAGTGACTTCTCTGCTGTTTTGTGTGGGGGGTCTCCATTGCAAGCACCCTTCACGGAACTGCCGAGTCGATAATTCAAATGTCCTCATCCTTGAGGCTTATGCTAATGAGTACGGGTTGTGCAACAATACACTTGGCAACTTACAGGCACTATGGACGTACTGGCCTTTGCCGTACTAAAAGATATACTTGTCTCAACGGCAATTGAAGCGCTCCAAGAACTGTCCAGCGATCACCTTTTGGTTTATTTTTGAATCAGGCGACGAGAAGGACGCATTGGAGGCTCTCACTCTCTTTTTTACTGACTGGGACAAAATAAGCAGAGTTATTACAAGCCATGCTCTCGCCGTATCCGTCACTGCCGCCCACGCGCCCTGCCGGGTGATGCTGTTGCCTTATTCGAAAGCGCACTGGACGTGGCTCCCACTACTGCTACGACAGTCGTGAAGAAAAGTACCGCCCCTGTCTGACGAACTAAAGGCACTTAACTGCCCATGTCAAACGTCATATCCGAGTGACCATGTTGTGGCAAAGCGCCGAAGGCAATTTGCGCTCAATCCACTGCACAGGTGCGTAAGGTAAGAAGCTAATGACCCATTTAAACGGTAAATGGAAGGCCAGACTGCACATATATCAGAATCAGGCAGCAGTTACCCTCCTCCTCCTCCTCCTCCTTTTGGAAATTTGTTAAAATTAAAAATCGGGGCTTGCACCACTAACGCCCCTTCGTGAAGAAAATATAGTAACCGAGAGTGATGGAGACAAAGCTGCACTTTTCGCTAATCTCCTTGCTACCCAAAACGTGCCCGCTGCTCACTTAACTGCCAATGATGCGCTTCCTCAGCTGAGCTTATCCCTTCCCGATGCCTACGAACCACGAAAGCTAATTATTATTGGCGAGTTTCAAGCGATTCCCCAAGCGCTACCCAAACGAAAAGCGCCCGCCCTCGATGGCAATGAGATGCTGAAGAAATAGCCATTAGCAGGGATGCACTATCTATACCTCCTAGTAAAATCTGCGATGGTTGTTGGCGCCTTTCCAATCGGATGGGAGATGGTGACCGGTGTTAAGCTGCCTTAGGCACTTAAGCCAGTATTAGCCACTAGCAAGTGCCGACCCATCAGTCTCCTGTAAGCGGTCGGCAAGGTAGGTGGGGCCCTTTTACTGCGCCTTCTAAAAGTGGTCTTTGCCCCTCGGAATGCCTTGCCGGGGTTTCAGTATGGGTTTTGGCAAGACCACCTAATGACCCGGCATCTCCTCCTCTTAACTGAATGGACCTCTCGCGCTCTTAACTTTAAGAAGGTAATAGGCGCTGTCTTCCTTAACTTTGGAAAAACATTTAATCAAGTTTGGCGGGAAGGTCTGCTGCACAAACCGCGCTCATTATCCGTTCCTCGTGGCCTTTATAATGTGCTGAAGTCATATCCAAACGGTCGCGCCTTCAGTATGTGCACGGGAGATACACCGTTGCCGCTGCCATCTCTGGCAACAGGGGCCCCTTCTTTCGCCCCATTTATTTGCAATTTATATGAGCGCCATGCCCTTGCCGTCGAATTCCAACACGAATCGCCCTCTACGCCGATGATACGATCATTTACTCATCGCATCTACAGCGTTCTCTTGACGCCGTTGCTGATTAGTGTGGTAATTAGAAGTTGCTATATATGCAATGAAGAGCGAAGTGCTTTTAATAACAAAAAATACGGTCCCTTGTTGGCGCTCTTAACCCTAGATGGCGGGAAGTTTCCGTGGTGTGCTCAAGCGAAATACTTAGGAGTCATCATTGACAACAATTTTTCCTGGCAGCCACACGGGGGCTATGTAGTGGCGGAGTTCAAGGCAGCAACGAAGGCGCTTTACCCTTTATTATGCGGCTGAGCAAGCTTTTTCTGCGAAGCAAACGGCGATGGTGTATGTCATAGATCCAGCCAGTAATGACAGTCGCGTCTGTTGCTTGGAACTACTACTCCACTGCAACAGCGTCGACACTTCAAGTGCGACAGAAACAAATTGCTGCGCTCGATTACAAACGCGCCGTGGTTTGTGCGAAATAAACCATATCATTGGGGCCTGCAGCTAGACCCCTTAGATGTCGCCTTCCAACGTAATGCCAATGCCCTTTACGACAGGCTAACCAGGCACACTACTCGCCTGCAGGTGAGCGAACTTGTTTTCGGGTCACGGGCCGAGGCACATGGTGGGCGTAAGCGCTGGGTTTTGTTTGTTAATGTCAAGAAAATGACACCTTTTCTGATAAAAGAAGTTACTTTGCACTAAGTCTGCGATCACTCCTGCTTGAGAGCTCGAGTTCAAAGTTTTTTCCCTGGATCGAGCATCAGGAACTGTCATTCACAGATAAATATATAAATTTTAAACCACACCACATATACATATATATATAGCTATTTTTCATAAAGAAAAAGAGGTTTTTGCCCTCTGCTTTTTGTCTCTCCGTCTCTTATTCCTCTTCGCTTTGGGCCTCAGTCTTTAGGTCTGGGTTACTCCGTGTTATAGCTGTTAACAATTGTTACAGAGGTAGCACGTAAATATATATTGACATCTGTAGGTTGATCTTCCTAGTAATGGATTAAATAATCTAGATGTTAGTAAGCCCTTAGTTAATAGGGAATATTAGTATTAAATAAAGTTTTTATTTAACAGTACCCTCCTCTGTATCCTTCCTAAGTTAGCGTAACTTTGTTCCTATTTATATAATATACATATCACTATCATGTTAAGAGTTTAGAAAACCGAAAATTAATTTTTAATATACCGGTCTATAGTAAAAATGTAATTTTTACTCTCATCTCGTAAGTATAGAAGTAAATAAAAGTTCATTATCAAAGTTTTCAACTAGATATATTAATTACAGTGTTTTATGTTTGAAATGAAATTTAAATCAAAGTGTTAAGTTAAATTTTTTATCAATTTAAAAAATAATACTAAGTTGACAACTTTTTTTAAAAAAATAACTTTGCTTAAAGAAACCATAATAATTAATTGGGTTTAATCTGTTTTAATTATAGCTTTTTAGGTTTTAATCCAAAGCTGATATATTATTTCTTTCTTTATTGCAAAATTAGAAAATCTGGCGAAGTTTATGATAAATAGAAAAACACTAATAGGATATAGAGAAAATTCTAGAAAAATATAAACCTCCCAATTTAAAAAATATTTAAAAGTTTAAATAAACATAAGTAATTAAGAAATAAAATTAAAGAAACAACACATAGAAACAGAGAGATTTTTAGATTAACCGATACAGTTCTTGTTTATTATTTTAAGTTTAATATATTGTTAAATTGTCTAAATATCTAGGTTGGTTCATATATATTGTTGATTGGGTATTAAATAAATACTTTTTTTTAAAAAATTTTAAATTTTCAATTTAAAACCTTGTTATAACCTCATAGTACGCTTATAAGTTTAAATATCTGTTTAAAAAAAGTACCGTGTTTCAAAGGGGAAAAACTTGGTGAAAATATCAACTATGTTTGTTTCAGACTTTATATGTTTTTCATTACAGTTTCTTCGCTCTACAGACTGTTTAATGTAATGATATATAATATCATTATGACGTAACCTTTTTGATAGTGCATTCCTAAAAATATCCATTAGTCTCGTTGTCTGTATAAATTTGTACTGTAAGAGGTGCATCAGGGAAAAGTTCTTTTAAAATATCTTCTATGACTATAGTATCCGTTATAGCGTTCCTAAGAGCTATATACTCAGCCTCACAAGAAGACTTATTTATAGCGGTTCTATCAAAATAATCCATTCAAGTACGATAATCATCGACCCAAGAAGAATCACAGTAACATTCTAGGACATATTGTTCTTATTTGAAAAATTATCGGTTTTAAGTTTTATATTCTATGTTTAATAGAAGTAATTATAGCTTTTTAGCAGTTTCATATTGTTACTGTTTTGTGAAACCTTCCTAAAATGGTAGCATCATATGCTATTTCTGGTCTTGTAAGGTCAGATGTTTTTGAGTGAACTAACGATGTTTTTATTGTTAAAAATATAATAGTTTGACCTAACTGACTATCTGTATGCAGACTCTATAAACCGACTAACGGCGTTTACTAAGAACAAAGCAGAAGCTTACGACTTTATTGTAATATATAGGGTTAGGGTTAGGGTTAGAGCTTATCTGCACATGGTATTATTCTTGCTAGATTATTTTCTCTAATATATACGCACTCAGATTACATTAATTTATAAGCGAAATAAACAAAGATACAAATATGTAAACTGCGTGATACATTTTAATACACCCCCTGAGTCACACAGTTAAGGAGCTAATTACTAGAGGCCAGAGTAGTAAATTGAGGGTCAGCTATATACTTTTTAAAAAAAAATCAGCTAATATTTCATTTGACGGAAAATATTTAAAAAAAACACTTTTTCTCTCCATTTCTTTTTTAACAAAGTGATAATTAACGTCCTTATGTCTTGACAATCTTGTCCCCACTTCTATTTGGTGCTATAGGTATCGAGGGTTGATTATCGGTCTAAACACTAAAAGGATAATCAATTTGCCTTCCGAGTTTTTTTAACACAACATTCTACTTACCCACGTTATACTCTCAGCTACCGCATGTATTCCGCTTCAGTAGAAGAAAGAATACTAAGGGTTGTTTTTTAGTCTCCCATACATGGCATTTCTGTCAGGCCCAGATGCATAACTAGCTTCAGATTATAAAAAAATTTTTAAACTTTCTTCTTGGTGGTTTTAATAGCGTTTACCCTTTAGTCCCATTTAGGTAACGTAACACAGTTTTAGCGGCTTCCCAATGTTGAGTTCTATAAGCTTTAAGGTGCTGAGCAGCTTATTTTTAGCTAACTAGATATCAGGTCTCAAGCAATTTGGAAGATACTGTAATGATCCTACAAGTTCTTAATAAGGGCAAGATTTAGTGATCTCTTTGGAGTCGAGTAGTTCTAATTATTCATAGGATATTTTACAATCTTAGACTTTTTCACGTCATAGCTGGTGAGTAAGTTGTCAATATATTTCTTAAAGAACCTTCAGGGTATTTTCCTCATATCTATATTTTATATCCCAAAAATACATTGTTAGAAATAACTTCTTTGGTTTTAGTGCTACCAACCTTTAACAATTCTCAACTTTTTGCGGGTTAGGTGTACACTTAAAAATCATTAAGTAAACAGTCACTAAGGTGGCTACGTCACTTGAATGATCTATTAAAAGGCATGAGTCAAAACTTAATTAGTAAAAACCAATTCCTTTAAATTTAAATACCACGTGGCCAAACCTTATAAGTCCTGCTTGTTTATGACTTAAAATACTTTAACAAGTTTTAAATATTTATTCTTACCCACATTTGGGTAAAGTAACTCAAACCCTTCAGGTAATTTGATGTAAAGGGTAAAATCCTAATCTGTTTGCACATAAGTATTTCTAACATCAAATTGTAGGCATTTTAAATCCTTCTTGTAGAGTCCATACTTCTACCAATCTTACTGCTTCCTTTGATATTACAGGAGACGTAGTTTTATCGTAATCACGCCCTTTTACTGAGTAAACCTTCTAACACACACCCGGGTTTTTAATCTTCCATCGCTCTTAATCGTAAAGTTCCATGCAGTGGTTTTCAACATAAGTCCTTCTGGCAAACTGATTATTCCCCATGAACCTGCCTTATCCAAGGTTTCAAGTTCATTTTTCATTAAAAATTTTCACTCCTCTAAATTGAGAGTCTTTTCGGCGATTCTTGAGTAATATGACCTCGCCGTCATATCTTGGAAAGCTTCCTGTATTTTATTATCAGGGATTTGCTCTGTGTCACGACCTCAAAAGAAACTGTGTAATAAGGTTTATCTTCAATAAATTAAATTGCTGCTACCACTCTAGGGTATCACCTCGGTATCTACCTTTTTTTGGGAAACTCATGAAGTACCTTCACTTTGGCCCAATTTTAAATCTCGGTTGGTTCAACTCCCATGACTTGAGATCTACTTAGTGTGTTCTCTTAAAATTCCAAGATGTGACATCTGGCGTTGTGATGAACTCATTTCCACTATGATTTTCTTGGGGATCTATTATATGATCGTTAGGTAAAATGGGAACTACATATCACTTCTCCCCTATAAGTTTTTCTTAATTCTACTAGTAACTACTTTGAAGCTTCTAGTCTTACTATTCGCTTGGTTTGCGGGTCAAAAATCCCCACAAGTATCAATTGAAGGACTTAAAATATACCGGTTCATACATTGGGAGTCAGCTTCTCAAAGCTTTCATGTCGATAATATTCTGTTAACCCGAAAACATCCAATTCATTAACTTTAAAAATAACTCTATGAAATTTTCCCCGGCTGCCTGAGTATACTTGTTAAAATTTTGCAGCATAATTTATGGCCTCTGCCCAAAAACTGTCATTTAAATTGGCTCGATGCACCCTTGCTTAGTCATTTCCTTTATGATCCCATTAAATAATCCCTCTCCAGTGGGTGTGATGGTGTATGTGGAGAGGGAAAGAACTGTTCTTTCATCTACTGTCTGCATACCTTCTTAAAGAATTTATTTGTAAATTCAGTCCTGTTATCTGAAAGCACATGCTCCATCATATACCCATCTCCCAACGGGTTATCTAAGAAATCTCCAAACAGAGGACCTTAATTTTAACGGCCAATGTCCAAACAAACCTTGTGCTTTTGCAAACCACTGTTAAGCAAAACCATGCTCCACCAAGAGATTCAGTTCTGGGGTCACAGAGATCGAGATCCTGATAACAAACCCTCGTATTCATTGTGTTTAAACCTCCTCACTAATTTATGGTGAAGGTTCATGTCCTTACGTACAGTCTATGTTTGTAACTTCAAAGCCCATTCCATACCTCTAAAAAAATTCCTTCAATTTTCCTCCTTAATACGGCCCAGCGTGTCATGCCATTTTTCGAGGGTTCAGTAAGCTGTCCTCAGTAACATAGTAACAACCATCCAAATTCCTAGGGGCAGACAATGCCGGCTCTGCTTCCTGCAATAGGTCTTCCTTAACATTCTTGTTTTTTCATAAACTCTACCTTACGTTGAGTCAAAGATGAGAACTTAATTCTCATCACATAATTGTCCCAGTCTAACAAGTTTTCATATGCACTGGGGACGTGTAAAGCTTTTCTGTACAAATATTTTCCGGTATCCTATGCAGGCACATGACCATTTATCTCCAATATCCTCTCTTTGCAGAGTTGATAAGCAGACGACCAGTATACCATGTCCTACTAATAAAAGCTGATTCTTTACTTCGCTATCACAATTATAGCACTTCACAGAGGCTCCTAGAATTTTCTTCCTATTCATAATATTCTCTATTTTTATTCCTGTTAATAGATACTTTGAGAATCTGGCCTTTAAAGCTTAATCATTAGTGGAACTCTGATTAGCTTGAAACTTGCTGTTTCATCGCCCCCTAGAGAGTGCTGAATTAACAGCACCCTCTAAACTAATTTTGCTCTAGGATTGTTTCGATTCATTAATACATTCTGCTTAAAAGTGACCCAGGTCTCATCATAGGGGAGCGCTCTCCCAAGAATCTAGTTAATTTCATTCGGTCACTAATTTTAGCTGACATGTCCTGATGCTCTATTCTGGAGTGCAAAAGGTTGATTCTATTTATTCATTCCACTCTTTCTAATTGTAGGAAATTCTTTTTCTAAGGCCAAAAGTATGCTCTCCGTAGTAGGGTTAAATTTATTATAAAGAGCGTTTCAAAGCTGCATAGGTTTCACTATAGTCCCCAGCTTATCCGTCCCTCGAATTTCTCGTAATATGTTTTTTAAAAACGGGTCAATGGTTAGAGATCATTGCATGCCAGGCTAAACCAATTTTTCTTCTGTCTGTACATCGCGCGTTAGTTATGGCCTTCACAGCGTAGATGTTAGTTAAGTAAGACTAGAGATATATACTCCAATCAGGCCAGTCGACTTCGGTTTTCAACTCCAAATACATGTTTAATTAATCATTGCATCCTCATTCATTATAAAATACAAACAGGTAAATAACTGTTGTATTATAAAAAAAATCTTAAGAGCTCCTGCCTGTTAACCTGTTAATAATAATAATTTGACCTAACCGGCTAACGGTACGCGGATCCTATATGCCGACTAACAAAGTTTACTAAGAACAAGGAATAAGAGACCAGCAAATGGAAAGCAAAAATTTATGACTGTCATAAAATAAGAATTTGTGTACACGCACATGGTAAGAAAGCTTGCTAGATTACCTGTAAAAAAATGCACTGCTTAGATTACATTAATTTATAAGTAGAATAAACAAAAGATATAAATATGTAAACTAAGTGATTCATTATAATATATTCTTCATTGTTGTCATCAGTTTTGCTAGGAGGTTTTAAATTTTGTATATTTATATGTAGGAGTATAAACCATGGTTGTTGTGTTTATACCATATTTAACTGCAAGTTGCTGAACTGTGAAATCTAAGCTGAGGGAAAAAAAATTTTGATTGACGTACCCCAAAATATTACCCAATGGAATTAAGTCCTTAATTTCGTATTCTTGGGAAATATTATTGATATTCGTCAGCATCTCCTCCCAAAAAAATGCAATCATTAACATATATGCTATCAATAACATCGAAATTTTATGAGTAAAATGTATATTAACCCAATACATTTGATTATAGTCATATTTTTGTAATCGTTTGGATAGGTCAAGATTAAAAAAGTCTTGCTGATCCTTTAAAGCCATCAATTGCTACGTTAATTTTTAGAACACACTTGACTTCTTTAGAGTAGTGTCCACTAGTAATCAATTTTCTTTTGAGTTAGGAAATTTTTAATTAAATATGTCTTGAGGCGTGAAAGTGTGCACAGGTTCTTTAAGTTTTCTATGCAAAAAATTAGTTAATATAACGGCAAGACGTATAATTATCTGTTTATAATTTGCAATGTTGAGTAGTAAACGAAAGGACTACTTAGATAAAAATGGTGAATAAAATTCATTGTAATCGATACTAGCTCTTTGTTGATAACCTTTCACTGTTAGTCTTGCCTTATACCGATTGTTACTTTTCTTTCTTTGAAGTAACTAGGTTGTGAATAAAATTTTTTATTCAAAGGAACTTCGTCATTGGTAAAAAATATTATTCCTTTGTGCTTAATTAGTGAATTTCATTCGTGACGGCATCCATATATTGTGTTTTGTCTTCCAAAATTATTGCTTTATTAAAAGTAAAATAAGTTACTAATAACTTATTCTCTTTAGTCTTTTTAACATTATCTATGCTCTCTTCAAAAGCCCTAAAATTTCTTTGATTAGTGCCAGACAAACTTTATCTAGTCTTTATCAGGAGGCGATTTTGGGGTACTGGATTCTGTTTTTAAATTTATATAATCAATATTTTAATCATTAAACTCTTATTTTGGTAAAAGATATGAAGCTATTTAGAAGTGTCTAGAGGAGTTACGATATTTATAGTATTAGGGGTTGACTTCTCTTCTAGTTCGACTCGTTTTTAAATTCTTGTTAAACACGCCTGTTTGCAACATACCACATGGGCAGTGTAATTAGCGTATATAACCCATTCACTAGTACGAACGAATATAGGTTTTGTAAACTGTGGGCTTAAACATGCTTGGTCTATGTGCAGCGACTGTGGTATAGGTCTTTGTGTAGACCTTAGTTTTGTAATATTGATTAATTAACCTGTAACTTTATTTAACTACTATTTAGCGATTGTTTTATAAGATATATTCTTCTATATGCAAAACCTTTAAAGGGGGTATGCTTAAAATCGGCACGAAAGATGCTTCTACCTGTTAGAGCAATACCTGCTCTCCAAAACGACCTTTTTATATACTACAGCTTTATTTTTTAAGGTAAAAACATTACGTCTCAAACAAATGCATTACTAAAAAAACGAGATACCTAATTTTTATCTTTCCCTAATTTTTTTTTTGTTCGATACTTGTTACTAAAATTAAAGAATAGCTACTACGATGTACTTAGTTGCTCAATTCGTGTTTAATATACTTTAAAGTTATTATTTTTCCTATATTGGTTTCTGAAAAAAAGATATAATATAACTTGTATAGCTATCAATACGAGTTTACATCAAAAGTTGCATTTTAATCTGTTTAAAAAAATACGAAAGGCCTAATACAGTTTGGCCAATCATACATATATAAAAACTTATAAATACAATTAACTGTGGGGGTTCAAAAAACAGTATTAGGTGTCTTTAACCGTGCTTTATCAGTTATGAAACCGTTCCACGAGAGTTTAGTTGAGCGGCTCCTTAATTACAGGGCAGAGAGAAAATTTAGTTCTAAAGAATGGATTTCAAAAAAAATCGACCTCCTTAACAATTACTTTTTGGCTAATAGTATCAATTTAGTTTGTTATTCATCATCTTTGTATTATGTGTCTTTTATAGAATTAAAGGCTTGTTGTATATCTTTAAGCGGGGGAATAGACAGTGCCGTAGTTTTGGCGCTTGCTAAAAAGGTTTCCTTCGTTATACTAGAGGAAAGTCATATATAAAATTATTAAATTTTTTTTGTAGGCTCAAGAAGAGCCTTACTCACCTATAGAAAGGGTGGTTGCAATTTCCCAACCCATCTTGAGGTTTTAAGTGCGATTTTATTCTTTTCTAACAGTTGTTAAAATCATTTTTATTAATTAACCATTACCCTTGTATAAATGTTTACCGAGATAATTGAGCAATTTTTTATTTAGCTCAGACTGGGCTCTTCAACGTGCCAAAGAGTGTGCTAAAAAGTTTAATTCCGAGTTTGTGGTCATTGACCAAACCGATCTCCATTTTTTGCTCAAAAATAAAATTGACAAGGCACTAGAAATCACAGGTGGGAAATTTGCTTCAGGGCAGTTGCGCTCCTATATGAGGACACCCTCTAGTAACAATTGTTGTTAAACTCCCAATTCCTTTATTAAAATGTGTTAGATTACTACGTGGCTCAGTTGCTCTCCCAGGAAGGGCTGACTTGCGCCGTGTTAGGTACAGGAAATAAAGACGAAGATGGATATCTTGCATACTTTTGTAAGGCAGGAGACGGCGTGGTCGACATTCAGGTGAGTACAATTCCTGCTTTGGGGCCGCCTTTCTATTAAACCAGAGCTTTTTAATAAATAGTTAATTGCTGATCTACACAAGAGCGAGGTGTTTCAAGTTGGACGAGCGTTGGGAGTTCCTTGCTCCATCTTAGATGCCAAACCCAGTTACATTTAATATTTACTTCTGTTGTGGCTTTAGGCCTTTTAAAAGCATTTTTAACTGAGTACTTGGCTTATTCAATATTTTAAAATTTAAAGGCGCGGATTTGTGGGCTGGCCAAGAGGATGAAGATGAGCTTGGCTTTCCTTATGACTTTGTGGAGGTATTCCAGTTTCCTTTGCCAAACGGAAGGCCGTGATGATCCGCCCACTCGCAACTTAATTTTTTAAGCTCTTTACAGGTAAATATCTTCCCCTTTCAGAGGAGAAAAAAGAACTTTTTTTGGATTCTCTAGGGAAAGAAGCCAGAGACCAATTTCTTTTGTGGTATTTATTTCTGTTAGTTTCAGTTTTGCTTTTGATCTCATTTTACTGTAGGAAATCTAAAGCTGAAAGCATACATTATAAGAATTGCCACAAATTCAATTTCCCCGTTAATCTGAATGTTTTGTAAATTAAACGAAAAGTTAATTATATCTTTGAAAATATTTAGCAGCTGCCTGCCGTTAGGGAGGTATTGGTCTTATATAGTGAATACAAAAAAAAACTATTATATAAGTCTCCTCACCCAGTACTATATATATGGGGAATAAGTACTTTTCATTTTAACCAATTTCACTCAACCAGGAGGTACTACTTACTCAAAACCAGTTTAAGACAGTTCTGTAATAGAACCTGTTTTAACTAGTTTATCAGCATCTGGCAATGTCAATAGTGTTGCTTCAGCTCTCTCGTGTACGTAGCCTCTTGTGTGAGATAAAATACAGTACACCTAAAGCTTCCGTTCGCAACTATTTATATCTGACCTAGAACTTTTTATAACTTAGCCCGGGTCTTGTACCGCTTAACCAAAAGATAGATAGAGTGGAGCCCAGAGCCCAGGCTCCAACGGATTAAAGATCAACGGCGAATGCAATCTAGCTAGTATTCAACACGAGACGCAAGAGACTATAGGTCAGTGGCAGGGCTCTCAAACACAGTACTATAACCAGAATCTTGATGGAACAAGCCCAAGTTACACCAGAACGATTGTGCAACCTGCATAAAAGCAAAGGGAACTTAGCACATCTCCCTACCAAATTTAAAAGCAATTCTTACAAACCGTGCATAAAGTAACTTAAAAGCTCTCCTAAGTGAAACTACCCCATGGTTGACAGTGGACATAGCACAATAACCATAGCCATAGTCCCGTGAGTTTGATCGTTTTTTTTAAGGTAAGATACATGGTAAAAAGGTGAGAGTCTACTTTTAATATATTTGGCCAAGGGAAGCAGTTTATCGTAGAGGCTTGTTAACCTGCCACAATGCCAATCCCATAACCTTACAGCGCAGTTCCATTACAGCCCAGGAGGACATACAACATGACGGGGCCAAGACCAGATGGTAAGATAGGCCACATGACACCTCCAAGCAAGATCAGTCCAATTTATTGCGTAGCTCGCTGAATGAATAAACATAACGACGTCGGGTAACTCTATATCGCGATCTTTTTTCATACTTAACCAATTTTTTATAAATTTGAATTTTTTAATGTAACATATTTTTCTACAGGTGATAAGTGCACAAAGCTGTTTATTTTATTAAAAAAGTTGAAGGGCTTTCATTACAGACGGTCTATTACCTTTCCAGTTACCATTAGGTAAACTACCTGGTGCATAGCGCGTGAATGTTACTGCGGGGCCGTGTTTCGGCCACGTTTATATACTTCTCTCACTAGGATTACAATAATTATTGCCTTTGAACGTTTACAATATATAATAGCCTTTTTATTTGTGTATGTCACTTTCCGGTCTTGCTTTGCCCCGTTATCCCAAAATTACATTTGGAGGTTACGAGTAGATTCTTATTTATAATTAACGCCTGTTTCTCTTCGCTACTTGTTAAGCTGTCTCTTAGGGGCGCCCATTTAAATTGATAAAGATCTAGTCTTTGTAACTACTAAGGAACCTAGAAATTTATATTTCGCTTTCTTTTATTGATAAACTATTATGTGTCGTTGCTCTTGAATGCTCGTGAACTTCACGTGCTTATTTCGTGTATACCTCCGCTCATTACTATAGGATTATACGCTGTGTGATCTTGGTAACTGCTGGGCTATCTCCCCTTTGTCTTGAAAGAAAGAGGGAGAGAGCGAGAAAGGGGAGTAACGTTAATTATTAACAGAAATTAAAAAAATTGCAAGCACTACCTAAAATCAGTGGGTGAAGTTTCTATTGAGATTGTACTTGTTTTCCATCAACAGTTTACTAGGAAGTTTATGGTGCGTGTTTAGTGGTTGCCGGGGAAGAATGGCTGAATATCTATGCGTTACAATTTAGTTTCTACGTTTTAAACTATTAGAGCGTTAGAAAGTTTACGTAAGCTTTATTGAAATAAATTTTTTTTTGGGAGTTATTATGTGATGTGCTACGCACGTAGTAGACTTGGCCCTATACAGGTTTGTTGCACAGTGATAGCTTGCTTGACTGCCAAGATTGTATATTTTAGCTTGGCAATATTAAGTTAAATTTGCCATCTACCTTGACACCTTCCTTTCGGCTTGAGCCTTCCACGGATTATTAGTTAAAGTTAAGTATGGTTAACATTCTTAAAAACGTCTAGCGACTCAAGGCTTGTAACTTGAATCTGCCTTGTTTGAGGTATCGTTAGCAATTTAAAGGATATTAAAAGTGCTCGGTTAGGGGATGTGAGAGACATAAGTTGTTCACAATAAAGGTAGTCACAAGGAGCCCTAGAAACATCGGTGTCCTGGTCATGGTAAGGAATTTTTTCGTTGTAAATTGCCTGTTATAAGGAGAAGAGTTTAAAGTGTTATCAATGAAAAAAGTAGTGAGCTGGTTTGATACTTCCCATAACTACCAGTAAGAAGGTGCGGCCTCAGTGGCAGGGAGGATAGGGTTCTCATTGGGTTTTTATATAAACATTTATGTAGATGCTCGGTGAACTTATAGCAGTCTGCTTAAATCCGTATTTAGTTTCTGCTAATGAATGCATTATTTTATATAAACATAAAACTGCATGGAGAGGTATACACAAACTAAAAGTGTGCGTTCAAAGTGCACTACTGAACCGTAGGAGGCGTGCGCCTTTCAGGGTTCGCATGTAAGTTTTTGAGCCCATTGATGGTTATAATGTTTACAGACACGTCAGGAGACATTAGTTGCATTACTGAAAGTCTTCAAGTCGTTTCAAACCTCGGTCGTCGTGCAGCGTGTTTACTCACGTATTAAGGCGCCATTCATTAGCCGCAGGGGCTTGTTTTGTTGCATCTGCAGGGGTGCAATTCGTCAATGATATTTGTGCGTCTAAGCAACAGTTGCGTAGGCCATAGTACAGACTTAAATAGAGACGATGTTTATTGCGCAAAAATATCGTGCTTTTCGCAAGCAGCAGCGGGTAGATGTGTGGGTTACTGCTTTGATCTTAGCTACAATGAATTCTAACTTGTTGCCGCCAAGTCAGTCGCTTAAGATGATGACGCTCAAGTATTAGGCTTAAGAGTTTCAGGGAATCTTAACATCTTAATGTTAGAGGTTGGGGTGGTAAAAGTGCATCTTCTTGAGATAAGAATTGCTCAGATTTTCTTTTAGTTAATACTTACCCACCACCACCGGCACCAGTTTTCAGATAACGTTGTAGGTATTGTCGTGATAATAAGGGGCTCTTAGAGCATGCGTAAACGGCGATGTCACCGGCGTAGAGTGCGATGAGAATGTGGGGATTTGCAGGAAGTGGAGTTCCGCATGTGAAGCGCGAAGAGCAATGGTGAGAGCAAAGCACCCTGCTGAATACCAGCTGTCAGTCGACCGTATGGTGAGAGCACAGTCCCAACTTTCACTAGAGTGATGCACCTCCATGAAACAACGCTAAAAAATACCTTAAAGAGGGCTAACATAGTGCCTAGACCCGTAGTTTTTGTAGGAGACCGTGATGCCATAAGCGGTCGAAGGCTTTTTCAACATCGAGAAGAAGTTTTCTGCAAGTTGAAATAATGTTGCTCACTTAAGAAAGCGCAAAATTTGTCGTGTCGAATAGTAGCCCCTTCGTAATCCGATTTGAAAATCTGGGAGCGCTTTTGTATGTTTTTAATAACTTTTCCACTTGACGTAGTAGAGCAGCCTTCAAAGCACTGCTGAAACTAGGCTAACTGGGAAGAAAACTGCTAGGATCTGGTGGAGCACGCGCAGTTTTTAGTAGGATTACTACAATATTTCTTTTCATCGCGTTGGGAAGAAGTCAAAAGTAATTGCACAAGTCGCAAAACAGGAAAGGTCGTTAATAGCCACAAGCGACAGCTTTTTCAGCATTCAGTGGGTATAGTCGTCGGGGACGGGTGCTCCCATCACGAAAGTGTGGAGATTATAACAGCGATTCCACCAACTGTGTTCGGTTTAATAAATCTGTTTTTAACAATAGAAGCTTCCGATTATATCTCTTCGTCCTCTGAGATAGCATAAGTTGCAGGAACGCACTGAACTTCAAGGAGGTCCACAAGAGTGTCGCCTTATCCTCGTCGGGTTCAGTCCTTATCACGTAGCTATTAAGCGCCGGAATTGGTGTGCAGCGGCTGTTTTTAATTCATTCATCAAAGTTCTAAAAAACTGGCCGTCTTCGTTAGCTGCTACAGATACCTCCGGCAGTCTTCGTGCTCGTAAGGATCCCTGTTCCGTCCTCAGAGGCATTGCCATAAAAGCGCACGAAAAAGATTATGCCCATATATGCAAATTCGCGCTTCGCTTAGACATTAGTTCTCGCTGCAGACGGTTTCGATGAAGGGCAACAGGTTTTTATCCTAAGGTAAAAACGACGTGCAAATGTAGGCCTATAAAACCGCGGGTATCGGGAAAAGCGGTCAGCTTTCTCTACTGTGTCGGTGAAGGCGGTTTAGCGTTAGTTTGTCGTTGGGTTTTGTGTAATAGCGACCAGGCGTATTAACTAAGGGAATTGACGAATAAGGTTCATTCCGGTATCAACTTTGTGGCTGGTTATCGCGCCAGCGCGGAGGTCGTCAGTGTACCCTCTAAATTATTTAAACCGCGGCTGTACTCCGTTTATGGTCATGTCCAGAGTTTTGCTGTAGTCTTGCCTTCACCTAACTACATAAGACAGCAGGTAGTCCAACGAGAGCTCTTCCAGCTCGGCGATTAATACCGTTAGTTGCTGTCTCCCAAAACGGATGAGTGGAGGAAGTCCGAAGCACCTCAGACACCAAAATAGCTACACCTTCTTCGCGTCTTTCAAGTCGATCAAGATAAAAAGTTTCGTACTTTCAGAAACTAGCCTATCGCCCTCTTTCTGGTTTTCTCACTTAACAACCCGTTATCTACACCTTCACTCTGCAACTATTGCAGCAGTTCGACTTTTTTGCAGTGCACGCCGTTGGCATTCTATTGTAAGAGTATCAGATTAAGAAATTGTGATTGTCATATTGCTTATCGCTCGATAAATGTTTCA